ACAGATCATGGATCTCTTGAATAAAGAAAAGACTGTAACAATATCACTGTAAGTGCTATAGTTCTCTCAATCAGCTTCTCCAAAGGGGCTTATGGAATGACCAATTTGGGAATGACTGGACTGGCTTTTAGTTCACACCAATTCCTAGAGATGGAAAAAGCCACTGTGGCCCATAGGTGACAGTGAGGACTTTTAGAGGTCAAATGATAAAAGGAATTTTGACTTGTGTCCCACTCATCGGGGGTCCATGGGTCTATTCTGTGGCTAATTCCTGAGTTCCTAAATACAGAGTTGGAATACTTAGCAACCGACAGAATCTACACAGGAGCTCCATTACGGTGGTATTAATGGAAGCCCCTTGAAGCTCTTCCTCCCAGTGAAAATACAAGCCAAAAGCAACATCATCTCCCTGAAGGAGTCACTGAGGTAGGTGCCAATATTACATAATTCATAGGTGCAGAGGTAATGATTTTTATTCTAGCCATTCAACTCACCTGCTTAACCTCTTCCTAAAATAGATCATCAGATCACATACACTGGACTAGCAATCAGAAAAGCATTCAATTTCTCAGAAGAAGTGCTGGAAAGTAGATGCACGGTGCTTGTAGGAGGAATAATGGCCTCCCACGTCCTGATCCCCAGAACCTATGAACATGCTCAGGCAAAGGAGAATTAAGGTTGCAGATGGAATTATGGTTGCTAGTCACCGTTTTTAAAATAGGAAGATTATCCTGGATTATTCAGGTGGATACAATGTAATCACAAATGTTTACAAATTACATCCTTGTAATCACCTTTGAAAAGTGGAGGGGATTGGGGCTCCTGGGTCATTCAGTTGGTTGGGCAGCTGCCTTCTACTCAGGTCGTGATCCTGGAGTCCCGGGATTGAGTCCCACATCGGGGTCTCTGCTCGGCAGGGAGTCTGCTTCTCTCTCTGACCTCTCCCCTCTCAGGGTCTCTCTCTCTCCCTCATAAATAAATAAATAAAATCTTAAAAAAAAAAAAAAAGGAGGGGATGGGCAGAAGGACAGAGAAGGAAATGTGACTTCAGAAGTTCAGAGTGATGTCATGTTGCTGGCTTTTAACATGGACAAAGCAGTCCATGATCTAAAAAATGTGGGTGGTCTCTATAAGCTGGAAAAGACATGGAAATGGAGCCAACCCAGAGCCTACAGAAAGGAATGCAACCCTGAAGACACCTTAACTTTAGCCCCAGGAGAAATGTGTCAGATTCTGACCCATCTACAGAAGTGTAAGATAATAAATTTTTGTTGCTTAAGCCACTAAGACTGTGGTAATTTGTTAATGGCAGCAACAGAAAACTAATAGAAATGTCTTAAAATTCAGTTAGTTTATATGAACCTTTTCTTGAGCAACTGCTAGAGAATGTGGTCTTCCAAAATAAAGGAGTACATTTTTTTAAAAAGAGGAAGACAGGGACCTAGGAAACTCCAAGACCTAGCAACTGGGTAGAGGAGAAGGGGGATCCTGGGAAAGCAGGTGCTCTGCAAGCAGAAAACTCTGTTAGCCCAGGGAGAAGCAGCTGAAGGCTAGGAGCTGTGGGGGAGGAGCGATGGCAGACACTCCATGTATGTGGTCAGGTCACAAAGGGGTTTTTTTTTTTTTTTAAGATTTTATTTATTTATTTATTTGACAGAGAGAGATCACAAGTAGGCAGAGAGGCAGGCAGAGAGAGAGGAAGGGAAGCAGGCTCCCCGCTGAGCAGAGTGCCCGATGCGGGACTCGATCCCAGGACCCTGAGATCATGACCTGAGCCGAAGGCAGCGGCTTAACCCACTGAGCCACCCAGGCACCCCACAAAGGGGTTTTAACTCTTCTGAAAAATTGGGAAGGAATTAGTGATCATGACATAGAAAACTAAGCCAGAAACAAAGAGGGAGTTTTAACTCCAGAAGAGCAAGGTTGTTTGTAAAAAGGAAATATAATTGTCATACCCTATTTGTCTTGGAAGTGAACTCTATTTGCGTGTTTTAATAACACAGACATAGGAGTAACTTGATTAGAAGGATACAGGGAAGAAAAATAAAGGCTTGGACCTCTAGATCTCCATTTTTATTGGTTTACTGTTTGTTTATAGACTACAGAGGCACAGAATTGAATTAATCATAATCCTTGGTTTATGGCTCACTCTTAATGTTGCCCCAAAGAAAAGCTAGAACCTTGACAACTATTTATAACCCCATCACCCTACATGCGAACCCATATACCTTCTCCTCCATCTCAAGTAACCAATATCCTAAATGTTGTGTCCATGATTCCTTTGTTTTCCTCACATTTAATCTGGGCACTTTAAATTCATGACCACTCTGAGGATAAGGTTCCTCCTAGACTAGAAACAGGAGGATAGAAGGAGCTATTAACATCAACCACTTTGTAGCCATAAAGCAGCAAATAGTTTATTCTCAGCAAGAGAGATTACAAAGTCTCAGAAAGGAGAGTGAACTGCAGGGCTTTCTCACACTAAATACTATTAGAATATTATTTAAGTGCCATCTAGCATTGCACGTACCTTATTTGTTCCCTCTTTAGCTACTCCTTTAAATGAAAGAGAAAGGAAGGGGCGGTACACAGAGATGCCAAAGCAAGATGCTAATGGGCTGATCTCAGCACTGTGAGCATCTTCTACCACCTGCAGTCAACACTCCAAGACAGGCTTGCTTCCCCAGTTGATGTTTCCTCCCCATCTTCCAGATTTGCCCCTGACCCCAGACACTCTGGTGTTGCCTCCTATTATCCTAGAGCCTGTACCTTGGACAGCAGCACAGAGGGCCCTGGAGCATGCATGTCACACCAGTCTGGAGCAGTGAGGGTTGAGTTGAGCTCTGCTTGTGCCCTCTGAGGACCCCAAGGCCCAGGCTGCCTAAAAGACAACTGTTTGCCTTGGCAACCCACCATGGTCAGTTAAGCAGGGCACAAGCAATCTGGAAGTCACTTACGGTCTATTTGGAAGATGTTTCTAACCAGAATTGAGTTCTACTGTACTAGAGCAATGGACTCATTGGCCATGGAGCTGTGAGGGCTCTGGGGTCCATTTAGTCAAACATTTCCCGAGCAAGTAACTCAAGCACTTCCTTTTAGGATAGTTAACAGGTTTTACCCCAAAAGTGTCTCACAATTGAGGAAATTTGCAAAATGTTGAATTAAAAACAAATCAAGATTCTTTTTCTACCTGCCTTCTCAAAACCTAATTTCCAAGAAGGTAGCATTTCCCCAGTTTTGCTCCGTGGTCTATAGCTGAGCCTCAGTCTCAACCACAATGTAGAAATGATAACACCCAACCCAGAGGACTGCTGTGAGGGTGAATGAGATCATGAGCTGAGAAGCATTTAGCATGGTATCTTCATATTTGGTGTCAGCAAATCTTATTTCCCTTCTCCTTTTCCTATGCTTTTCATTTTTCTTTCAAGTATTCCTCTTGGCTCCATAAATTATCCCTATAAGCAACCTTCCATGAAATTATGTGACACTGATATCCTGGGCTCTGGGTGGCATCAGAATAACTACGTATACTACAAAGACCCCTACCCAGCTTACCTGGTAGGACAAGGGGACCCTAGGCCCAGTGGGGCAGAAATCCTGGTCAACACGGGAATGTGGCATTCATTGCACACTCTGAGTTGGAGAACCAATCCCAAGGCTTCAGTGGCAGCTCTACTTCTTCCTGAACCACCAAGGACTCATGGGTGGAGTCCTGGGTCCTCAGCACAGATTCATAATCACAAAAGAGGGGATGTGGCAGCCAGTTCAATGGAAGAAGCACTAGATTGAGATCAGAGGTTTCCAGCTGGCTACTGACCCTAGCCAACATATGTCTGTGCTTCCTCAGTTATAGCACGCAGGGGTGTAGGCAGATGGTCTTCATGCTCTCTTTGTGATCCAATGAACCTCCATTTAAAGGTTACCAACTGTGGTTTAATCAGAAGTCCAAGAAGCATAGTCCATGCATCCAAAATATATTTTATTGAGACTGGAGCACCTACAGTAATGTACACATTATGAAACATCGGACAGACTCAAGTTTAACAACTTTCACATTCACAAATACAAACTGCTTTTGGCTCTGAGGCACACAGAGAACAAGGGGAATGGGGAAGACAAGGTACTGTCTTGGAGGCCCAGACATACTGGGCCATGTGCAGGTCTTCCCCCACAGAGAAGGGCCTCCTCTGACTTGGCAGTGTTTCTAGATGCCCTCACAAGGAGGAAAAGTAAAGCTTTCCCCATGATTCCAGAGCAGGACAAACTATGTGTAATTCTGCTGCCTGTTTTCTTTCTGGTTCAAAGAATTTCCATGGCAGCATTAAGATGAAACCATAGGCTACTTCTTGACACCACAGAGACAGTAGGCACAGACCTGGAAGCCATTTGGCCTGAAAAATCCATCTTGGGAACCCTATGGGCTTAGAAGCCAATCTGTCCCATGAACGTCAAACATTTCAAACATTCTTATAAATAGAGAGAGGATAATGAACCCCCATGGTTAATTACAGGAAAGCAGATAATATGACCAAATGCAGTTTCAATGAACAGTCAAGAGATTGAAGTGAAACCTGGACAAAGTTCTTCTCCCCAAACCTCAGTTCTCCGCTCAGCTCCATATCCATGTTTGCTTTCAAGATCCATCTGGTGCTAGGAAGAAACCTAAAACCAGTGTAAGAGTGGCAATTGTTTAGGGTGGGTGAATTAAGTTCTATTCTGCCTGTGTCTCCTGGGTGACACAGTGAGTCACTCAGGACCAGACTGAAGGTGATAAAAACACTCAGTCTCTGGAATGAGATTTCTCTGGCATGTTGAGTCCTTAAGGACTATCACGATGTCACAGGTTTCTGAAGGTGACATGGGAGCCACCAGGGTGATGTTGACAAGTGAGTCGTTTTGGGGGAACTGGTGTGAAGAAGCCGTATTATTATTCAGACAACACAGAGAAGTGGCCTGTCTAGACAGCTTGGGAGGATTTGAGCAATTATTTCTGGCATATTGGAGAGGCTGCTCCATCATCTCCTGTAAATCAGGACGTTTTACCACTTCTTGTTCCATGTGAGTGCAGGAGGGAAGGAATTATGCCTCCTCGATGAGTTTTGTTTCCCAGCTCATCATGATGGCCACCATCTGAGAACTTCATCCAGACCTTTCCCACCACTGGCTACAAGAAGAAGGCAGTCTGTTGGCTCCATCACAGCCTTACTCTTGGGTTCCTCTCCCACCTCTTCCTCCAATTCTTCTGGTGGACACTATCCTTGGGAGAGAGGCTCGGAAGTTCTCTGTTATGCCCTGTTGCTTGCTTGTGTCTATGTGGAAAAGTGTAATTCAGGATGGAAGGGAGAGCGTGTGCACACACACATGCAAAGGGAAAAGTTGTAAATAAATCCATAGTATATTAATGAAATGCAGAAAGGGGTGACTTTTGTTTTCTTCTTTGTGCTTTTCTAAATTTTCCCAAGTTTTAATAATAATCCTTCTTTAAGATAACTCAGTAATTCCTCTTTAAGGGCCCTAATTGGTCCTTTCTAGTCATCTGTCCAGCCAGCCACTCTACTACTGAGATTCATCCTGGCCCAGGACTTCAGAAAGTGAGGCCCCAAAACCCTCCACATCAGCTGGGGCTCATTCACCTTTCAGTGGCCAATGAACGTTGTTCGAGTAGAGTTCTGTGCATCTGGGTCAGCCACGCCCCAAGTATGACTCAGGTGTCCTTTATGAACATTCGGCAGTAGGGAGGGTTGTTAGGCAGCCAACTGACTCAGCCCTCATGTGGGCTGAAGCTGTCCTGGGTTCTCTGGCTCAGGCAACCAAGGTGATATGCCTCGTAGCATTTCTTAGACAGGAATTCATAAACACATGTCTGATTTGTAGTTGCCTTTTAGTTTTCACGTCAAATGGGGTAGGAGTCTAGACAGCATTTCCTAGGAAATCCAGGGTCCCGTGGCTTCTGTAGGGCCTTGTTTCCAGCACTGTGAAGGTCATGTGTGAGGGGACAGGCATTTTTCCAGGCTCCGTCCTCAGGCCCTTTGCCAACCTCGGCTGGGAACAGAGCCCTCTCCCTGCCCCTTCCCGCCTCCCTCTAACTCACTGCCACAATGGGCTCCACAGCAGACAGGTCTGTCTTCCCAGACTGGAGTTGGGAGGAGGGCAAGAGGTTACTGGCCAGTGGAGCCCTCCGGCCATCGCTCTTCTCTGTCCAAGCCACCCTGAAAGAAGCAACTGGGGAGGGTGGCCTCTCCTCCTGGGCCTTGGGCAGCCTTTGGCACATGCTCAGTAATGCTTTCAGCTCGACCCTGAAGTTCTCATTGAGCCAGCAGTAGATGAAGGGATTATAGCAAGTGCTGCTCATGGCAAACCAGTGGAAGGCGAAGTAGAGGGCATTGTTGGTGTGGATGACCTTGCTGGACAGGAGGAGGACATAGCAGTTGAGGGGGAACCAGCAGAGAGCGAAGAGGACCACCACCAGCATCAGCATCTTGATGGTCGTCTTCTTCTTACGCCGAAGGGCCAGGTACTGCTCCGTGGTCACATCCCCAATGGTGTTGCACAACCACAGCTTCTTGGCCACTCGGGCGTAGGCCACGGAGATGATGAGGAGGGGGAGGATGTACAGCAGGATGAAGGTGGCCAAGTCCAGGTACTTCCAGAAGAGGTCAGCTGGCTCAGGGAAGTCTGGTAGGCACAGGGAGCGGACAATGTTCTCACTGGTGGCAGGGGGGACAGGGAGAGACAGAGACATAGAAACAGGGAGAGGCAGAGACGGAGAAAGGAAGAGGAGGCTGTGCCATTAGTGTGGAAAGGCTTCATCCCAAGAAGCACTGGCCTTCCTCCCCACTGGGCTCCCAGCTCATCCCTTACAGCGCTTTTGCTACAGCGAAATTATCTGGGACATTTCTGGCTCTCCCACTAGGCTGGGAGTTCTATAAGGATAAGGAGAACACCTGCTCTCTCTGTGCCTCTTAACCTTGTATTACTCTTGAATAGGCCTGTAACAGAGACCCAGTAAATATTTGTTCAATGAATGGATAAAACACTGGTGTTCCTCATCTTAGAACTAACTCACCCTGAGAGTACAACGTGCTCAGGAAATCCTGGAATTCCCCAGTTTATCACCTACTCCCATTCCAGAGGGAAATTAAGGAGGGGGGCAAAGAAATGATGGGTCTTAAGACTGTGAGTGGCAGAGCCCCAACTAACATACCTTCAGCCATTCATATAAGGAGTATCTCTTTTCTATGGAATGCACCCGGTCCTCTTTGAGGAACCCCCAGAACTTGGACTCCGCAGATTCTGACCTGCTGAATGAGGGGGCGCGAGGCACCCAGGCAGGGCCGGCAAGTACCTCCCTCCGCATCCGAACTCCCGCTTCGGGGAAGTGAAAACCGCGGGGCCGTTTTGACAGAAGGCGGATTTCAATACGCTCACATGTAGGAAGCCACGCCACGAGATCTGTTACTTACAAAGCCCAGAATGGAGGCACCGGGAGCTGGGGGAAGGGAAGTCCTCTGTCCGCGTCACCAGCAAGCACGCGATAGAAAGCAGGGGCGCAAGCACCTCCTGTGTGGAAGGTGGCTGGGGCGGGGCTCACTCGAAGTGGTCCCTTTAGAAGGTGACCCAGGAAAAATAAGGCAGGAACTTGTGGTGGGAATCCTAACCCCGTGTCCTAATCTAAATGTCCTGATTGTGGGTGTGAATGGAGTTGTCATACTGCAAAAGGTCTAAACTCAAAATGGCTGTTTTCTCCTCCCACCCTGTGGCTCATTGCTCTTGTCCTAGGTGCTGGTGGCCCTCATTACTGATAGAGAATTCTCTCTGCTTCTGTTAGCAGGGGGAAAAAAAACAAACAAAAAAACCCAGCTCCCTCTGTGTGAGGGCAGATGGGAGTCTGAGTGCTAGGGGATTTGGGTATGTGATTCATTTCAGTATCATAGAATTTGGGGAGGGAGCCTTTATAAATTACAGCTGACCCTTGAGCAACAGAGAGGTTAGGGGTACTGACCCCTGCACAGCTGAAAACCCATGGCTGAGTTTTGACTTCCCCCAAATTTAACTACCAATCACCTACTATTGACTGGAAGCCATACTGAAAACATAAACAATTGATTAACACATTATTTTGTGTATGTATTAAATACTGTATTCTTCCAATAAAGTAAGGAAAAGAAAATGTTATTAAAACAAGAAGGATTTTAACCAGCTGAGTGGCTCAGTGGGTTAAAGCGTTTGCCTTCAGCTCAGGTCATGATCCCAGGGTCCTGGGATCCAGTCCCGCATTGGACTCCCTGCTCAGTGGGGAGCCTGCTTCTCCCTCTGCCTCTGCCGCTCCCCCACTTGTGTTCTCTCTCTCTATGACAAATAAGTAAATAAAATATTTAGAATTAAAATATTTAAAATCAGGAGAAAGAAAAAAAAAAACACCTTTCTAGTGCTGGAATCTTATCAGTGGCAAAAATCCACATAGAAGTCGATCCACACCGTTCGAACAAGTGTTGCTCAAGTGTCCACTGTAGCTGTAACCAGCCTTCAGACTTAGTCTCTTGACCCTGCCTGTGTCACAGAAATGTATGTTTCTAAGTGCACACCTCAGGAGGAGTAGTGCGTGGCGCTTTTGGGACACACTAGCACTGCACCCCTAGATCCTCTCAGATCCCTTTTACAGGTCTGCAGTGCCAGGATGCTAGCCCCCAGACAACCCTGTGATCTTGTCGGTGCCTAGCCTCGGGCCACTGAAATCATTTCCTACAGATCCCCTAAGAGCCAGAAGGGGCTGGGAGTTTCCATTTTCCCCAGGGAAGCCTGGAATATGAAAGCCCAGCTCCCTTGCTTCAAGGCTGAACAAACTCTGTGTTATCTTTGCTCTAGAGATCCGGTGCAGCTGGCTGTAGCTACCCCCAACAACCTTCCACCCCCAAATTGCACCTTCCCTTGGTCTCCCTCCACTTGCTATCCTGCGTCCCCTTTCCCTCAGCCATGACCCCTGGGAGCACTTCCTTATAACTGATCTGTATCATCACAGTGTCTGTTTGTAAGGAACCTCATCGAAAACAACTATGAACTGATGAAAATCGCTTGAAGCTCATTCGTTCACTCACTCATTTATTCAGTAAGTACGTGATTACGTGCTGAGAGCCTGTTAGGTGGAGACAGTAAGTTAGGTGCTAGGGGACGCCAAGGTAGCAGAATCAGAAATGGTGCCAACTCTCCCCAACCTTACAATCTAGCTGGGGGCAGCACCTTCAGTGAACTAGTACCACACACAAGTGTTTACATTTTTAAAAAATGAAGTGCTTTGAAAGAAATTCTCATTCTGTGAGAGGATATGACTGACAAAAGAGCCTGAAAGGGAGGCGGAGCGAAGTGGAGCTTCCTGCCTCAGACACACGGACACAGGCGTGTTCTGTTTGCAAGTCAGGTGAGAGCATTTAAACATTTTAGGGGCGCCTGGGTGGCTCCGTCATTACGCATCTGCCTTCGGCTCAGGTCATGATCCCAAGGTCCTGGGGTCGAGCCCTGCGCTGGGTTCCCTGCTCAGGGGAAGCCTGCTTTTCTCTCTCCCACTCGCCCTAGCTTATGTTCCCGCTCATGCTGTGTCACTCTGCCAAATAAATAAATAAAATCTTAAAAAATAAATAAATAAACATCGCCAATTTCGAATTTTGCATCTTGGTGTGTGTGATTGTGTGGGTACGCGTTCCCAGTGAAAGAAGCTGTTCGCTACTGCCTTGACCTTGCAGACAAACTGGGTGGAGAACAAGGAGGGAGCCGAAGTGGTTGAGAGGAAGAGAGGAGAAAGAGAGGAAGGGATGCCACAGACAGTCGTCGTTATTGCCCCCCCCAACCCCCGCTCAGAAGCAAGAGGACGGGAGACAGACAGAGGGAACAGCTGGGTGCAGCAGGTACTGGGGTCAGGGCCGGAGTGGGGATGCTCAGATTTCCCTGTCAAGGTCCTCAGTGGCCACAGGCTGCTCCTTACTAGCCAACTCACCTGTACTTGAAGGTAAATAATTTCTGGCAGATGGCATGTGGGAGTGAAAAGAACGTTGCCATGGTCCAGATGACCGTGATGTAGATGACCCCTTTCGTGATGGAGATCCGGGGTTTCAACGGATGCATGATGACCTGGAAAACAAGCATTGCGTGTCGCCGGCCGAAGAAATGCATAAGCAGACAGAATCCTGATGACGCAGCTGCCGTGTCTCTCCAAGGCAGTCAGGTCCGATTTATAAAGGAGCACCCCTTCATTCAGGATGAAGCCCCTGGACCACGCCACCCCCATGGCCCCCCTCCAGCGGGTCGTCTGGACTCAGAGACTCCAAGCAGCTCAGAGCCGTCTTGCCATCATATGTGGCAGAAGGAGGGGGCGGGGCAGGGGTGGGGAAGGGGATCTGCTTGCATGACACCCACAAGGCCAGCAGAAGGACAAGCCATGGTCGGCCTCCACCTTGGGATCGTGCCCTGCCCCCTCCCCCAGGACCCTTTAGGTCATCGAGGGCTCTGACCTCATGGGAAGCTGCACGGACGTTTATCTGGGGATTCACAACACTGGTGATGAAATTATTTATTTATTGGGGCGCCTGGGTGGCTCAGTGGGTTAAAGCCTCTGCCTTCGGCTTGAGTCATGATCCCAGGGTCCTGGGATGGAGCCCCGCATCGGGCTCTCTGCTCAGTGGGGAACCTGCTTCCCCCTCTCTCTCTGCCTGCTTGTAATCTCTGTCAAATAAATAAATAAAATCTTTAAAAAAATGTATTTATTTAAATTACTGCATTTGTTGTTAAAGCTGCAGTGGGGTCCAGCTTTCCCACACCTATAGTAAAGCCTGGATTGCAGACTTTGGGCTGAAAAGCATCCTGGAATTGCCACAATGTGACAATCCATTCTCCTTAAACCTTTAGGTCAAGACTTGGGAATTTCATGGCATCCTCGTCTTCTAAGAGCAGGAGCATTCTCTTTCTTACAAAAGGCACCCTGAGACAGGTGAATCCAGGGTTAGGGGGAGAGGTCATATAGAGTGACACAGTGGACATTCTGGCTGTGTCTCCCCAAATTTTTCTCCAGTTTTTTTTCTAGGTTTTATGGGAGGAAGTCACAGGCTTTAGAAGTGGCTCTGCACAGCCCCCTTCTGGAGCTTGCCCTTCATGCTCCCTCCTTGTTCAGGTTGCTGAGAGAAGTGAGAAGCCTGGGTCAGAGGCCCTGGACATCACTTGAAGATTTCACTGGCTTTGGGACAAGTCCCCATTTTTGGGGTTTATAACACAGCATCGTGATCAATGTGGGCAAGACTTATCCCTGAGCTCCTCAGACCAACCCACCTTTGGCCCAAGGGTCACTCAGCCATGTTAAGATGGGGGTAAGCACAGGCCAGGTAAGGGCGACCCAGAATCCCTCTTGTTGAATTCAGGGAGAAGGTTAAGAAAGGCAAATATATTTGTATGCCAGAAAAATATTTGTATGCTAGCTTTTCAGACATTGCCCAAAGCGTCTGCAATAGAAACGCCAAAATGACGGACTTGCAGGGCTGAAGAAATCTGTTTGCCCGGCCCAGTTCCCTCCCAATGATGAATGTCTGCTAAACCATCCCTTTCTAGTGTCATCCGGCCCTTGTTTAAAAGTGGCCAGTGAAATGAAACTCATTACCTCCCCAGACAGCTCTGTTCTATGAAAAAATTCTTTCTCACACTGAGCTGTTATCTTTGAATTTGCGTCTTTGGAAGCCTCCTCTCCTTTGGTCTTTGTTTGCGTCTCTTGGAGCTACTCACAATAAATTCTACCCTCTCTGTCCGGTGGCCCTTATGGTATGGGCCTTGTAGGTGCCCCTCAGCTTTCTCAGAGCAGGATGGTCTAGTGATCAGAGCAGAGGCTTAAAGCCAGACAGACCTCAGTGCTAATCCTAGCTTCATCAGTCACCAGGCAGGTGATCTAGGGAAAGCTATGCACGCACTTTCCTTCGCTTCCATTCCTCGATTCCACACAGACCTAAGGACGCAACATGGACCAACTGAGTCAGTGTGTGGGAGGTCCTTGCCACAGAGGCGTCCTCCTCCAGGATAGGCATCCCCAGGCCCTCTTTGGTTTCCTTTGCTATCCACCACGTGCGTCTGATGGGGCAGGACAGCGAGCAGGGCCTTCCTGCCCTACCCTGAGGCCCGCTCCTGCCACCTGGATACTCGAGCTTCCTCCTCGATAACGGGGGCCAAGAAACAGCCATCTCCCTGGACTCTGCCCTGCAGTGATTTGCCAATCTCTTTTCACGTGTGATTTTCAGGTTGGCTTTTCTACACACAAGACAAGCTCATTAATTCCTGAGACACGACATGGACGCCTTTGCTGGAAAAACAAACTGGGAGTAATGATTTTCTCATAGCACTTAGCACACGCGTTTGAAAATGCCTAGCCTGGGCGCTCAAACTGATCAATGAGACAACTACGCATACTGAAACATGTGCTAGAACACTGTGTTGGACCCTGCAGTTCCCGGAGAGGCGAAGCCTGATGGGGACGGACAGGGGGTCAGGGGTAGGTGCCCTCACCTGGTGTCGGTCAACGGCGATGGCCGTCAATGTCAGTGCGGAGACATGCAGGGAGCAGTACTGGGCGAAGCGGCTGACGTGGCACATGCCTTTCCCGAACACCCAGGTGCTGTTCACAAAGCGGACCTGGAAACCAGCCCACAGAGGTCAGAGGCCTTGAGCCTGACACCCGGCCCCTGTGGCCTCTGAGGAGCATCCCTCAGGAGGTTTCTTCCACGCCACTCTCCTCAGCTGTGGGTCACATACGATTTCCTCCAGCAGGACTGATTTCCAATCATTCGATTCAGGGAAACCTGATCACATTGCTGGGGCCTCCCCCTGTTAGGTGCCGGGAGAGTGTGGGAATCCGTGGGCTTTGGACTTGGACTTGCCACCTCCATTGGCCTCTAGATGTGTGGCCTGGGCCGAGGGATACAATTTCTCTGAACCTCAGTTTCCTTATTTGTAAGGAAATCTCTACCTTGTAGGCTTATTGTAAGGATTAAGGTTTCAGAAGGTCTATAAAGGGTGGAACACCGTGTCTGGCAGATAAGTAGAAAGATATTATTAGAAAGAAATAGGAGCTATTTTTCTGGTAATAATAAAATCCATTCTTGGCCCTCGTGAGTTCAGACTTAATGGGGGACACACATAGGAAAAATCACAACAGAGCGTGGGGGCTGTGCTCTCTAATGTTGACTAAGCAAACCTGCAAGTCCATCTGGGAAGGGGACCGAGGGGCCTGGAGAGCGGCAGGCAGGCTGGGGAGAAGACAAGCTCCAGGCCAGCGTGGGGCCCTAGGAGCAGACCGAGGCCTCATCCCACGTCACCCACAGCTGCCTGCTCACTCCCTCAATGCTCCAGCCGCTCCTGACCGATGCCCGAGAAAGCTCAGGCACTGATTCTGAACAAGTCTGGGGAGAGGACCCAGTATCTCAGGATGCAGGAAGGGAAGTATTCAGTGCCAGAGAAGGCCCGGAGAGAGGGCCACAAGGCGGGGTGGGAGAGGGCTGAGGCTGATAGGAAACAAGATCGAGTAAATAACAGAGCAAGTCAGTTGGACAGGAAGAATACCATCCAGTGATTTACAACAGAGTATTTGCCTCTTACGACTGTCACCTGGGCAAAGCTCTTAGGCTCTATGAGCTTTACTGTCCTCGTCAGTAAAATGGGCTAAAGTTGTTGTGAAAATCGAACAAGAAAGAACATGTGGAGAATAGGTAGAGCAGTGCTTTGTACAGAGGAAGCACTTAACACAGTAACTACTCCCGTTACAACAGGAGATGAGCTCCCGTTACAACATGAGATGAGCTTTAAAGAGTAAGTAGTTTTGGGCGCCTGGGTGGCTCAGTCGGTTAAGCGTCTGCCTTTGGCTCAGGTCATGATCCCAGGGTCTGGGATTGAACCCCGCATCGGGGTTCCTGTTTGGTGGGAAGCCTGCTTCTCCCTCTCCCACTCCCCCTGCTTGTGTTCCCTCTCTTGCTGTGTCTCTCTCTGTCAAATAAATAAATAAGAAATCTTTAAAAAAAAAAAAAAGAAAAGAAAAGAAAAAAGGAATAAATAGTCTTTGTTCCTATAGTAGTAAGAACAAAGGCTTGGCCCTGAGTCAGAAATCCCAGGCCCTGTTTGAGGAATAAGCAGTGAGATGGTTTGGCGGGAGTGTGTGGAAGAGAGTTGCGAGGGACCACGAGTGTGGCCAGATCGTGACACTAGGACAGCAGACCGAAGATTTACTCTCTGTGGGGCTGGGAGCCAGCAGCCATAAGAGGCTTTTGAGCCGTCCGTGAACATTATGGGGCTAGACATTGTCAGTGATTCCTGCTTCTCACCTCCCACCTTCAAGACATTACAGAGCCAACCGGGGCTGCCTTGCACGACTTTCAGATCATCTCCTCTTTTCCAGTCCCAAGGCCGTGGTCCTCGTGGCGTGCCCCACCATTTCTCCCCCAGACCGTTTCCAGCCTCCTAAAGGCTTCCCCTATCCTCCGATCTTGGCCACTTGTGATTCAGGCTTCACGCTGCTGATGGTATTTTCCCAGCTAAAAATCCGATTATTGTCACCTTCCCGCTTGGCCTCATCCTGGCCTTCGGGACAGAGCCAGATGCCTCCGGAGCACCCAGGCCCCTTCACAAGCTCGTCCCAGCCTTCCTGGCCCACCTCCGCTTGTCTCCAGCTCTCCGCGCACCCCCCACAGCACTCTGCCCCACTGCCCCCCCCACCCCATCGAGAGCCACTCAACATCCCCTCAACACAAAATGAGCTTTGACACACTTTGCCTTTGGTCTCCCAGTCCCTGTCTGCGTGGAGCCTTCACCTCGACCTGGGAAACTCTGGCCCTTCCAGGCCGCTTTGAAATGTCACGTTCTTTGTACAGTCTCCTGTGACCCTCTCCTGGGACTCTGGCAGGACAGAATCAGTGATTCTCTCCTCCAGGCTCCACCACATTCTATGCATGCCTCTGCCACCGGAATTATAAGTAACTGTTTGCTTTTTCTCTCTCGATGACCACAGCTAAACTTCACGCTCACTGTCGTGTGTAAAGTGGACAGGAAAGGAGACCAGAGACGAAGAACGTTGTCACCAACTAGCTGGAAGACAGGATGCCTTACCTTAGAAGACCCTCCCCACAGCCCTTTCATACACTCTTGTGCTTCAAGGTAACAGGGGATACGGGATTGGGGGGCGGTGGTATTTGGAGCCCTTTTGTCCTTGGCTGGTGACAAGAGGATTCCGAGGAGCCAGGAATCAGATATAAGCTGGCCAGTGAGCAGGAAAAGTCCATGGTTTGGAGTAGCTTAACATAGTCCAAGAACACCCCCACCCCCTCACCTGCCACCCCGGGGTTCAGTGGCTTAGTGGACAGACCTCTGGACTTGAGTCAGAAAAGTAATTCTTATCATGCCTTTTGCCAATTACTAGCTAAGTGACCTTGTACAAGGGACTGAACCTCTATCTGTGCCTTAGTTTCCTCACCGGCAAAATGCAATTTTCTCATAAGTGAGGACAAAAGAGAGAATGTAGTATTAAAATGTGAGGTTTGGAAGGATGTTCACACAGGTGGGAGTTCACCCTCTTCCTTTGGCTTGTCTATTATTTCTGGTTGAGTATGAGTGTGAGAGACAGAGAGGGACGGAGAGAGACAGGGAGTCTGCTTTGGTCAAAATGCCAATAATAACAAGGTTATTCCATGAAGTGGTAAAAAAAAAAAAAACCCAAAAAAACAAAAACAAAAACGTGACTCACGCTGCAGAAACCTAAGGGGTAACTGTCATTAGACTGCTTGGTCCCAGCCCTCACAATCCCAAACCACCCAGGAGCACCACACTCCCAAGTCCCAAATCCCGGAGGGACGGGAAGGACAGGGCTCATGCCAGCAGCCAGTGCCTTGGTGTGGGGGTGGAGGGTGGGGAGGTGTTCATCTACCACCCACGTACAAGTACCCCCAGCCCAGCCCTGGGACCCAAGCCCACCTCCTTCTCATCTCTTTCCTAACACACTGCTGACACAGCCTCATTGTCAAACCACAAAAGAGAGACGCAATTTAAATAAGTGTTCTAGGAAAATGCACTTAAGTGTCCATTAACAATTAGCAATTGTTTGCTGTTGCAGCTGTAGCACAAAGCAGCACCCTACCGTGGCAGCGGGGCACTGCATGGGCTGGAACTTTGGGGATGGGGGGCACTTAGCCATCTCTGCCAATATTTCCAGGAGCTTCGATTTACCGCTTGATATCCAATAGGCCCGAAGACCAGTGCTATTAAACAGGAAGTGGTCATTCGCTCCGGGGTGACTGCAGACACTCCAGTCACTGATCCCAGTGCCCCCAGCTGCAGAAGTTCGGGCTCAAAAGGTGATGAGACAGACAGAAAAGAGAGCGAGAGGGAGGACAGAAAAACAAAACCACAGACAGGAAGAGCGGGAAAGGGAGGACAGAGACAGTCACCGGGAGGGAAAAAGATGAAGACACAAAGAGTCAGAGCAAAGGGACAAAAGTCTGCGAGACAGGGCAGAGTTCAGACTTCAGCGAGGAAGCCAGAAGGGAAGGAGCTGGAGAGGCGCAACCCGCGCCCCCACCCCCCATCCCCGCAACTCGGGCCAGACCCGGGGCAACCGGGGAGAGAACTGTAAGGACCGAGGAGAGAGGGGCGCTGGGCAAGCGGGACGGGCGGGGGCAAAGCGGGGGCCGGGGCCTCACCAAGGTGAAGGGCGTGTTGAGCAGCGTGATCATGATGTCGGCGACCGCCAGGTTGACGATGAAGAGGCTGGTGGCCGAGTGCATTCGCTGGTTCTTGAAGATGACATGACAGACCAGGACGTTACCGAAGAGCGAGAAGACGATGATGAAGGAGTAAGCCACGATGAGCAGGGCTTTCACCGTGGGGTTCTGGGACTCGGCCCCGTAGCGCCTCCGGCCCACAAAGTTCTGCCAGTCGGAGAAGGTGTAGTTGCTCCAGAAGAAGTGCGAGGCGTTGGGCACGGCCAGGGCCGCCTCCAGGCCCGGCTCGTCGGCCCGACCCTCGGGGCGCTCGGCGGCTCGCACCAGCGGGAGCAGGCAGAGCAGCACCCCGCGCGCGCCCATCCTGCGGGAGCCCCGGCACCCGAGCCCGCGCCGCGCCCACGTCCGCGGGGAGGGGAGGGCGCAGGCTGCGCTCGGGGGTGCTGGCCGCACTTCTCCCGCTCTGCGCAGCGCCGCGCCGCGGCTCCGGCTCCCGCCGCGGCTCCGGCTCCCGCCGCGGCTCCGGCTCCCGCCGCGGCTCCGGCTCCCGCCCCGGCTCCCGCTCGGGCTCCCGCTCCGGCGGTGACGCGCGCCCGCTCCGCCCGCCCGGCCTGCTGCCCCTTCGGAAATGCAGCTCCGCGGGGCTCGCAAGTCTCTCTCCCCGCGCGCGCTCGCCCGCTCGCTTTCTGGCGCGCCGCAGTCCGCCCGCTCCCACGCCGGGAGTACAACTCCGCCCGGCTTCCGGGGCTCTGTCCCTAAGTCACACTCGCCACACCATCCCGCCCCAGCCCGGTTACTGTCAAGGGAGAGGGCAGGGGGTGGCAGCCGCCCCCGTGGGGGTGCCTGGCCCTTGGGGCGCGCAGCTTGTCAAGCCTGGTGTGCGGGCTCCGGGCGGCCCCCTGTGCGGAGACGGGGATGCACAACGCCTGTGCCCTCGGAGCGTCAGCCCGGGCGCGGTTTCCACACTGCGCTGGATCCCTGGGTCCGGCTGTTTTTAAGGAACAAAGCGAGTAAGGCAATGGAGGGGAGGGCTTCTCCAAACCCCTTCACCACCAGACTTCAGATTTGCTGGAGGGCTTCCTAGGTTTTGTTTCCTGCAGGTCTTAAGACAATGGGGGTGAGGGGGGTAGGCTTTTCCAAGGAAACTCTTCAAAGCGGAACAATCTGCTGACTGGATCAAAGAATCAAAGGAGATAAGTAGCTGCGTGCCCCCTGTGGCCGGAGAAGGTTTTGAAGCTCGAGGAAGGGGTGTATTACCCATGTTTCTGTTCTCTGCCTACTCCACAGGAAATCCTGGTACCTTGCTCACCCGTTTTCATTCCCATTGAGTAGTCTCTCCCAGTCATGACAACCCGGCCACCCACCCACTGACCCCATCCCGGGGAGTCAGGATCAAATCACAGCTTTGTCACTTCCTAGCTATGAGATCCTGGGCAAGTTAAATTTAACTTTTCTGCCGTTGGTGAAAAGCTTTCTAGAGCGCCCGGGCGGCTCCGTTGATTAAGCGTCTGCCTTCAGCTCAGGTCATGATCCCAGAATCCTGGGATCCAGCCCAGCAATGGCTTCAGGCTCCCTGCTCAGCGGGGAGTCTGCTTCTCCCTCGGCCCCCTACCCCCAGCCCTGCTTGTGCTTGCTCTCTCTCCCTCACTCGCTCTCAAAAAATTAAATAAAATCTTTAAAAGAAAAAAAAAAAAGCTTTCCTTTTCCCACTTGTGGGGTTTTCAGAGACCCTTGAATGTCCCCACCACCCTGCCGTCTGGTGCTAAGTATGCAGTAATCTGTGGACTGGCATTTGTAACTGCGGGCCCCACACCCATTCAAATGGTAAAGGTCAGGTAGACTGTCTACGGCATTATCTCCCCCTGCTGGGACTCCACCAAAAGACTTAAGTCCAGTTTCCTTCTGAGAATTCCATTTGGCCCAGGGGAAAGCCTGCTCCTTTGTCCCACCTTCACCCTGAAGAATGGGCCCCGCCCACCAAAGTCCTCTATTTTTCAGGAGGTCAGGAGGAGAGGCCCCAGGCACCTCTCACTTTGGAACTTTTCCAGGGGAAGTTAGATGTCAGCTTCTGTACCTCTTCAAACTTCAGGGATACAGTTCAAGCTCTCCTACTAGGAAATGGTTTAAGCGTCATCACAATAAAATACTGGTGCACTTCCCCCGGGGGGGGCGGCGGGAGCCTGGGAAGTTTTCCTAGAAAGGTGGTACTTTGGTTCAGTCCTAAGGGACCAGGAAGAAACAGGTCACAGAGGAGACAGAGGGAAGGAGTATTCCATAAGGAAGGAACCATGGTACATGCAAAGACATAGAGGTGAGAATGCTCCTGGCACATTCAGCGGCTATAAGAGTGATATGAATGCATTCCCGAAGGCCCTTGGCATTCACCAAAGGGCGGTAAGTACAAAACTGACAAGATCAGGTCTGCATTTTAGAAAGAACCCTCTAGTGACTTCCTGGGAAATGGGCTGCAGCCGGAGGCAGGAGGTTTGGCGGCTGGTCAAGTGATCCAGGATCAGAGGTGGGACCTGAATCAAGGAGCTGGCATGGGGAAGAGCAAGGGTGACAGAGATGGGAAGGAGGACACGTGGCTGATTGCCTCGTTTTCAGTTTGAAGTCAAACACAAAAAAAACACAAAAAAGATCCTCCTCTGACCTCACTTACCTCTCTCCATTATTTTATCTGCAAATTCAAAGGGGTCCATTCTTGTTTCCAGTTTTTCCTTTACATTCACTCTTCAGGCAACTCCGTGTTGGGGAGAGTATGGTGAGCAAATGTCCTTCAATTCTGCTGATGGACCTGGTGGGTCCCAGAGGATTAGGTGGTCAGAATAGGGGATTATGTGACTGGTCCTAGGAGAAGGGACAGGATGCCAAGCAGATCAAGTAATAGGTATTTAGTTCTAGAAAAGAAACCAAGAGACTGCCTGTAAGCATGTAATTCAAGAGCCTGGGTAGACTTAATGGTCTACAAAGGTGACTTGGTACCATCTCAGGGAGGCAAGGCTGGAATGTGCTGGTAATTTAGAGAACAGAATCCTACTTAATCAAATTGTTGAGAAAGAATGAATGGGCAGACTAAGGTTAGTCAGCCTGGAGCACACAGAAAGGAATCAAAGGTAGGCAGTGTCCTTCCAAGCACTGTCCCCCATGTACCCTGCTTGATGCTCTGTGACAGTTGCACTCATCTGCTCCTAATTAATGCCTTCACTTTGATACATTTCTCCCCACATCCCCCTTGGTGATTTGAGGACATTTATGCCAGATGCCTGAAACCTCCCCTCCATCAGAAGACAAGATGACATATTTTAGCTCTTAGCTTTCCACAGAAGAAAATCCTGAGACAAAGATTCTAGAGGAAGGGTTTATTTGAGAAATGAAGGCAAATACCAGTAGGGGAATGGAAAAGCGAGACAAGGTTGGGAAGGGGCCAGTAGTCTATTGGCAGGCCAGCTACCACTGTGAGTGACTGGAGCCCCTTCCTTTTGGGAAAGCCATTGCAAAGCAGACACATCAGCTATCCAAATCAGTAGACAAGAGCTGGATATCTACCCACCCAACTCCTATCAATCACTGGTTGAAGGCTGCTCCCAAGGATGTGATAATTCTCTTGCACTTCCAGCTGTCAAGGAGACAAGTAAATATTGGTTCTGGTTGGAATTTGGACAGATGTGCTATTCCGTGAGCATTCGGCTCTCTGATCAGTCTCCCAAGATCCCAGCGCCCAACTCTCCTGGCCCGAATTTACTCTCAACTGTAGCAATAGCCCAGTGCTTGATGAAAGAAGAACATCCCCCACCCACCCCATGTCAAGGCTAAGTTTTTAAAAAGAAGTCCCTTCCTCAGAGACCTTAATGGTTCTGTAACATTATCATTTGCTATTATGAAGATGATTTGGGAAGACACAGAGCTGCTCTTACAGAATGAGACAGCTCCTTCCTTTGTGCATTCTGAATAAAACTGAGGACGCTGTGTAGAGTCAGGCTGTGCCAGATAGTAATTATATTTCTGTCTCTAATAATAGTCACACGTATTAAACATACCAAAGAGTAGAGAATTTAACTCTTTCAAATGGACTTGAAACAAGAAAAATAGTAAATCACCTCACCAGCATTCACAAGACCAAGAATTACAGAATGGTAATATCACACAGAGGCCTCAGAAAGAAGTGTTTGAGAGCCCCACTCCTCAACATTCCCAGCACTGCGAGTAGTTGCTCCTCTAACACCAGGGTTATTTCCTGAAAAGGTCCTACTTGAGTTAAAAACGCACCAACCCACAATTCTTCTCTCGTGCCAATCATTGGCAGAGGGGAAGAAAGAACAATTAGCATCATGTCAGGCACATGACTGTCACTCAAAGTTGATCTGTTTTAATGGCAAAGGTGGGATGGCATCATACCTTAGTTACAAAGTGAATCAGGTAGACCTGAAATAGAAAGTATGGCTTAAGATATTCCCAACGCAATAAAAACACCGAGTGTGGGCATGTTACCCCTGGAATCGGTTTCCAAGTATGCTGGAAATATTCCAGTACCCTGGAGCTGTAGACTAAAACGATATATTTAGGGGCACCCAGGCGGCTCCATGGGTTAAGCGTCTGCCTTCCACTCGGGTCATGATCCCAGGGTCCTGGGTTCCAGCCCTGCATCAGGATCCTTGCTCAACGGGGAGTCTGCTTCTTCTCCCTCCCCCTCTGCCTGCCGCTCCCCATGCTTGTGCTCTCTCTCTGACAAATAAAGTCTTCCAAAAAATGATATATTTAGGATAAATAAAAGAAGTACACCCAAATTCCAACGTATAGTTTGTGGCTCCGAATACTTCGGTAAGTTGTTTGAACTTACTCCACACTTTTACATAGGCAGTTTTATAAATGATGGAGCGGGTATTGGGCCAACTCATAGCAGCCCATTTAATCCCTACAGTAGACTACTGGTAGCCTTAGTGGTGCTACCACAGAATTCCTAGCTACTCTTGGCGATTCAGAGTGCCATCCTCCAGCATCTGGTCCTTTTGAACTAAATGTCCCCCAAGGTGATCTCAACCATTTCCATTGGTTGAACCATCATTCACAAGTGACTCCGAGATCTGTATCTCTACTTATCAATCCTCTTGAAAGCTCCCGGTTGTTATGACACATTTGGCTGTTGCCTGGACATTCCCACTTGGAACACCCCCCACACTTACAATTCAGCATCCTCCAAACTAAATTCATCGTATCCCCTCCTTCCCTTACTTTCTTACACTTGCTCCTTTTCTTGTTCACTTGTTCACCATGGTAAGAGTCTTGCAGTCGCCTCACAGCCCACCTCCACTTCATGATGCTATTGCATCCGAAGATGCTATTTCTGTCTCGAATCATCCTCCCTCTGATCCCAGGGCCAGAAAAACTCCTCCTCTTGGAAG